TGACGGGAATCATGTTTTATTTACTACGGAAAAGTCGATTGGGGTCATAGACCCCAAAGATAAATGAGGGTTAAAGTAGCATTTAGATGTTTTTACACAGACATAAATAATATTATGACGTTTTAAAAATATATATTTTTTTTAATTATTAAAAATATTTGAAATGATTAAAAACATGAAAGATGCTTTAAATGTGAAATTAAAACTGCCAATAGGAGGCAGTAAGTCACTGTTAATGAGTGAGTCATTGAGATTCATTCAACTGATTGTTCAAAAAGCTGATTCATTCAGTAAGGAAACACCTCGGTGTGTTTCTCAATGTTGTGGCTTAATTTTCAACTATTTTCGTTGGTAATATGGTGTCTAAAATGTACATAACTTAATATTAACTTCTTGTTTATTAAACTTGTATCAAATCAAAATCACATTTGTTATCATGCTGATATCTGGAGAAAAACTGCACTCTTCGTGTGATATTATATTAGATTAACTATATTAAATGATATAAACCGACTAAATCACAGTGAAAGTGTTAAAATCTAAATGGGCACCCGGACTAACGTTAGTCAATCTAATCTACAAGACTAACGTTACATCACGTAACGTTAGTGTATGCGTACACTCTATGGGTGTGGGTGTGTGTGGGGGGATATAACTTATAAACAAGCTAGGTAAACGCAGACTGTATTAAACAAGGGTAACGTTAACGTTAAACGTTATAATCGCTAACATAGCAGACTACATCAGTGACAAAAGTACATTAGTACACAATCATATATTTGTTTTTTACATGATTTATTAATGACTCAGCATCATCTATATTAAAGAGAAAATAATCACTTCATCCGATGTTTAAAGTGAATAAAATGCCAGGGAATATTAGCATTTCACACCTATGGGACACAAGGCAGTGGCCTCCTTCAATTGGTCAGAGATCTTACATAGGATTGGGTGCTGAATGCTTTCCCCCTCCTCTAAACCCTCTAAACCCCTCCTCTAAAACCCTAAACCCCTCCTCTAAAACCCCACACTATTGGTCCAGTTTAAGGCCTCATTTGGGTTTATTGTTACTCATTATTAATATTTATTATCATTGGTGTTCATGGTTATAATGTCAAGACAATCAGATAAACAAAGTTGAGTTTGTTATTTTTATTATTTGTAAATCACACTGGGCACATGACATATACACTCACCGGCCACTTTATTAGGTACACCTGTCCAACTGCTTGTTAACACTTAATTTCTAAGCAGCCAATCACATGGCGGCAACTCAGTGCATTTAGGCATGTAGACATGGTCAAGACAATCTCCTGCAGTTCAAACCGAGCATCAGTATGGGGAAGAAAGGTGATTTGAGTGACTTTGAACGTGGCATGATTGTTGGTGCCAGAAGGGCTGGTCTGAGTATTTCAGAAACTGCTAATCTACTGGGATTCTCACGCACAACCATATCTAGGGTTTATAGAGAATGGTCCGAAAAAGAAAAAACATCCAGTGAGCGGCAGTTCTGTGGGCGGAAATGCCTTGTTGATGCCAGAGGTCAGAGGAGAATGGCCTGACTGGTTCGAGCTGATAGAAGGGCAACAGTGACTCAAATAACCACCCGTTACAACCAAGGTGGGCAGAAGAGCATCTCTGAACGCACAGTACGTCGAACTTTGAGGCAGATGGGCTACAACAGCAGAAGACCCCACCGGGTACCACTCATCTCCACTACAAATAGGAAAAAGAGGCTACAATTTGCAAGAGCTCACCAAAATTGGACAGTTGAAGACTGGAAAAATGTTGCCTGGTCTGATGAGTCTCGATTTCTGTTGAGACATTCAGATGGTAGAGTCAGAATTTGGCGTAAACAGAATGAGAACATGGATCCATCATGCCTTGTTACCACTGAGCAGGCTGGTGGTGGTGGTGTAATGGTGTGGGGGATGTTTTCTTGGCACACTTTAGGCCCCTTAGTGCCAATTGGGCATCGTTTAAATGCCACGGCCTACCTGAGCATTGTTTCTGACCATGTCCATCCCTTTATGGCCACCATGTACCCATCCTCTGATGGCTACTTCCAGCAGGATAATGCACCATGGCACAAAGCTCGAATCATTTCAAATTGGTTTTCTTGAACATGACAATGAGTTCACTGTACTAAAATGGCCTCCACAGTCACCAGATCTCAATCCAATAGAGCATCTTTGGGATGTGGTGGAACGGGAGATTCGCATCATGGATGTGCAGCCGACAAATCTGCGGCAACTGTGTGATGCCATCATGTCAATATGGACCAAACTCCCTGAGGAATGCTTCCAGCACCTTGTTGAATCTATGCCACGAAGAATTGAGGCAGTTCTGAAGGCAAAAGGGGGTCCAACCCGTTACTAGCATGGGGTACCTAATAAAGTGGCCGGTGAGTGTATATATATATATATATATATTATTGTGAAATAATGATTATGTTAAATCACAACCAACAGCATCAGACCTCCATAGTTCATTGTTCATCTGGCTGTTATAACTCATGTACAGCAACCAAACAAAATCTAAAGTTAATAAGTTAATGGTCAAGAGCCCAACTAAAACAAATACTTATCTCCATAATGGTGACTTAAACATTCCGGTTTTCTCCTTCAGAGATTCTGCTTGTTAACATCAGGTGTCTTCAATAATGCTCAATCATCACTCAATTATTCACTTAATTAACTCATTAGCTCAGAGTTTAATTGGGTCGCTTAAAATGACCAAATTCCATGATGTTGAAGTTACATGAACATATTATGTTTGTTTAACGAAACATAGTTATGTGGAACCGGTGGAACCTGTTTACATAAAAAAGTTAAGTAAAGCCAACATATCATTTTTTTGAGTGTAATATGTTAGCCTGTGTATAATATTTAGAAAACAATATAATATACAAATACTTTAGAATATATAAATAGTACAATATATAAATAATACAATATATAAATATAGAGATACCAATGTGGAATTGTATAAAATATATAAATGCAGTATATATAGAAAACTAAATAGAATCATATATAATACAATCTATAAATAATACTATATAAAATAAATACTATATAAAAAACAACAACAGAATATTCAAATTATACTATAGAATAATATTTAGATGTGTAATGCTAAAATAATTCACAGGCCAGCTTCTGTGGTCTCCACCGTGACTCGATCTGCACCAACTCGTGGATGATGAGTTCCTAAGTACTTCTGGTCTGCTTCCAGTCTTTTTTGTAGCACCCCACACAGCGCAGACAAAGCTTTACTACGGGTTGGAGGCCGAACAACCCACACCGTCTTTCCATCCAAGATGGCATCCTCCTCTTCAGACATTTGGTCAACTGTTGCAGTCTTCCAGATAGCTGCCTCTTCCTCTGTCCGGAGAACACCAGTCCTGCTGCTCAGCAGCTGCAAAATGGGAGGGAAAAAAGAAATTAAACCACTGAAAATATCAAATGGGTTGGGATGGGAGCCTTTTAGTCTTTTACTGAGATTTATATTTATTTATACTTACTCTTCTTTTTCTTTGTCTCGTGCGAGCAATGATCCTGCTGTCCTCCATCTTCTCTTTGTTCTCATCTTGGGCCATCCTGTAACCCCTTCGAACAGTTTCAAAATATGTCTTGCAGGATGCTAGAGAGAGGGAGATAGTGAGCAGGGAGAATGTGTTTATTTATAACTAACTAGTCTATACAGTTAAATAGTAGTCTTGGTATATTCTCTTGTGACTTACCTTTAACAACAGCAGGATCTACGTCCGGTACAGCCATGGAGACGCCATTAAAGAGATAGGTTGTGACCTCGAGGTTGTGGGGGGAGGATAGACTGTGGAGCAGTAATTAAAGAAGGTTGATTAAAAATATAATTTAGAAGAAAGGACTGTTATGAAACAATAGTTTTAAAGATATACCTTGTCTGTGGGTCATATTTGTGTGTGTTGTTTTCCCCATTGTGCAATCTGCGTACAGCTTCCTGTAAAAATCCAACATAGTATGAGAGCTCAATTCAAATACATTAATAAATAAAGCACACAAAGTTAAGCGGACACCGCAAAATGTTTGACTTAAAAAACTAAAATAAATAAAATAACTTACCGCAACAGATTTATTCCCAGCTCTCTTTAATTTCTTCGAAGCAGGCTCCTCTCTTGCCTCTTTGAGCTCATCGATGTCCGCCTCCATCTTAACCAATCTCTTGTCCATCGTCTCCAGCTTTTCAAATATCCGCTTCAAACTTGCATTCACCATATTCACCAGTCGGTTTTCGTTCGGACTCGGAGTTTGAAAAGCCACGTTGTCCCGGCGTAAAGGAGTAACATCTCTACTCTGCTCTCCGTAAAACTCCAGCGTTCTTTTGCAAGCCATCTTCGCGTTGTAAATAGGATACGGCGTACCTTTACTAACCTGTATATTTTAGATATCTTTTGTTTTATACATACTGGTAACACCCATCCACAAACAAAATGTGCAGCCTCTAAAGTTTTCAGGTAATGCTATTGGTTACTTTCACTGACACAAAACATAAACTGATTCCGTTGGTTGGAACTGGATGACGTCATTGTATTTCATCCAATTGCACGCTTGGAAAGTAGAAATACGGAAATCAAGCACTGTAGCGAAATAAACACAGCAACCTCAGTCACTCCTCAGTTTATCAGAAACATCAAACTACCGGATCGATAAAGGGTTTAACAGTGTCTGCTCTGACGGAAATTTAAAAGAAGAAGAAGAACGGACCGGATTGCGAATCCCGATTTATTACAGAAGCGAATCGTAAAAAAAAATCCGTTTGCTTTCAAGCCATGGAGGGAACAAGGAAACGGAAGAGACAGTTTTGTGGTCATTGTAACGATTTTGTTTCACATACGCTTTTTTATTCGCACAAGAAAACATATTTTTTAAATGGAGTTTGGATAAAAGACGCTACCGATAGGCCTACTCTGCGTGTTTCAGAAAGTTTGTTTATCACGCAACCAGAGGACAACGAACATGAACAACAACCGGAAAATGATGTGGACAACACTCTGCAAGGTATGAATAGGTTGTTTTCAGTAATTATAATTATGCCCAGTTCATTTCTATTTGAAATTTGAAAGCTATACTACCCAGCTGTAGTTTCAGTCATTATTTTACTCTGAACTAAGCCATGTGGAGGCGTAAATGCATATGGTAACCAAGCAACGTTAGCAGACTTGGGACCAGCTGACCACCTACCTCTTAACAAATCATGAATGCATACATGATAAATATATCCAAAGTAACATTACAAGTAATTATTTTTCACTAAAAATCTACTCAAGTAAAAGTACAAATATGTTGCATTCAAACTAAGTTACTTGTGGGATACCGCAAACGTTTGACCAAAGTTACTGGAGAACATTCTTTATTTGTTACATTTTGTGAGAAATATTGTGTAAAATGGCTCGTTTTTCTGTTATAGAGAACTTTGATTATGAAGATCTCAACCTTCCCCTGGGTGCCAGTTAGCCTGGGCGATATATCGCACGATATTGTTATGCGCGTCTCTTCAGTAAAGCCGGTTCTTTGATTAGTAGTAAATCGCCTTCACCTGCTTTCAGATGGAAGATATGATGCAGATATGAGTGTTAAAGTTAATGAGATAATTAAGTGATTAATTTAGTGATCATTGAGCATTATTGAAGACACCTGATGTTAACAAGCAGAATCACTGAAGGAGAAAATCTAAAATTGTAAGCCACCGTTATGGCGATCAGTGTTTGCTTTAGTTGGGCTCTTGATCCTTATACTTTAAGTGTAAATTTTGTTTGTCTGCTGTTATTGATTTATTACAGTCAAATGAACAAAAACAAGTGTGATCTGATAGTGTTGGTTATGTTTTGACAAAATCATGCTGTGATCTGAAACATGAAACTCATTCAGATGATCTTGTTTAATTTGATAGCAACAATTTAGTGGTCCTACAGCATATGATAATTGTATGTTTCTTAAAATCCAAACTATTTAATAAAAATTGTTCTGATCAAATCACTTTCAAATGCATTTATTTAGAAACGCAGACATCAATAATCAGCCTGTGAATCTCAACCGTGGTGACAATAATAATCCTTATTGCCACCAATCACAACTCATTAATGGCTCCCATCATGCATTGCGGTATGAATAAATTATGATCTGAATTGTCTATGTAATTTACTTTTCCTAATTGAATATTCTGTTCATCACCATTGTTGAGATGCATTGACTGAATCTTGATATCTGTGTGTGCCTAAAACTTTTTTTTTTTTTTTTTTTTACAACTTTTAAGAAATCCTTTATATTATATCACAAATTCAGAATATTTATGCAGAATCTCAGTTATGCTGTAATCAACAGCATAAATCACAAACAATCAGCTCAAATGATGAATGTCATTATATAATCAATTTCATTTGATCATTGCTTTTCTTTGTTCATCTGGCAGGTATAACTCAGATACAACAGCTGAACAAAATCTAAAGTTTATAATATAAGGGTCAAGAGACCAACTAAAGCAAACACTCATCTCCATGATGGTGACCTGAAATTCCGGTTTTCTTCTTCAGTGATTCTGCTTTAGGTGTCTTCAATAATGCTCAATCATCACTCAATTAATCACTTAAATATCTCATTAACTTTAACACTCTTGAGTGTGGACTCATATACACTCCCAGGTGTGTTCATTTAACACTGGAGTTTTTGCTGTGTAAAGAGCCGTAGTTAACTGACAAGCTGAGCCATATCGCATTAAATATCGCTGGCGATACGTCCGCGATATTAGTGCGATTTGGCTCAGCTTGTCAGTTAACTACGGCTCTTTGTAGTAAATGCCGCTCCATCTGAAAGCAGGTGAAGGCGATTTACTACTAATCAAGGAACCGGCTTTACTGACGAGATGCGCATAACAATATCGTGCGATATATCGCCCAGCCCTAGGTGCCAGTGACTCTTCAGATACTGCCAGTGCTCCACTGTTGCCATCAACTGTGTTTTGTATGCAGCAAGGGGACAAACAGACTGATATACAAGACCAAGAACTGTACGAGGACTGCACTTTGCAAGGTAAGATTGTGCACCTGTCAATAGTCTCAAAGCCTGTAACTTATAACCTACCATAATTCTTTGGAGACTGTTACTGTGCTAAACACTGTAAAAAAATAATTGCCATTTCAACTTTTTTTTTTTTGTAGACACAACTAAATTTGTAGAAATTGTCCAGACAACAAGAACATTTAAGTTTAATTGTCCTCAACTAAGCTAAAAGTTGAATTAACTAGTATAACTGTTGTTTCAACTAGAAAACGCATGTTGATACAATTGCACATACACCATATATTGTAGGGCTGGGCGATATATCGCACGATATTGTTATGCGCGTCTCTTCAGTAAAGCCGGTTCTTTGATTAGTAGTAAATCGCCTTCGCCTGCTTTCAGATGGAAGATATGATGCAGATATGAGTGTTAAAGTTAATGAGATAATTAAGTGATTAATTTAGTGATCATTGAGCATTATTGAAGACACCTGATGTTAACAAGCAGAATCGCTGAAGGAGAAAATCTAAAATTGTAAGCCACCGTTATGGCGATCAGTGTTTGCTTTAGTTGGGCTCTTGATCCTTATACTTTGAGTTTAAATTTTGTTTGTCTGCTGTTATTGATTTATAACAGTCAAATGAACAAAAACAAGTGTGATCTGATAGTGTTGGTTATGTTTTGACATAATCATGCTGTGATCTGAAAAATGAAACTCATTCAGATGATCTTGTTTAATTTGATAGTAACAGTTTAGTAGTCCTACAGCATATGATAATCGTATGTTTCTTAAAATCCAAACTATTTAATAAAAATTGTTCTAATCTAATCACTTTCAAATGCATTTATTTAGAAACGCAGACATCAATAATCAGCCTGTGAATCTCAACCGTGGTGACAATAATAATCCTTGTTGCCACCAACCACAACTCATTAATGGCTCCCATCATGCATTGCGGTATGAATAAATTATGATCTGAATTGTCTATGTAATTTACTTTTCCTAATTGAATATTTTGTTCATCACCATTGTTGAGATGCATTAACTGAATATTGATATCTGTGTCTGCCTAAAACAAAGATTTTTTTTTTTTTTTTACAACTTTTAGGAAATCTTTTATATTATATCACAAATTCTGGATATTTATGCAGAATCTCAGTTATGCTGTAACCAACAGCATTAATCACAAACAATTAGCTCAAATGATGAATGTCGTAATATAATCAATACCATTAGATCATTGTTATTCTTTGTTCATCTGGCAGGTATGACTCGGATACAACAGCTGAACAAAAACTAAAGTTAATAATATAAGGGTCAAGAGACCAACTAAAGCAAACACTCATCTCCATAATGGTGACCTGAAATTCCGGTTTTCTTCTTCAGTGATTCTGCTTTAGGTGTCTTCAATAATGCTCAATCATCACTCAATTAATCACTTAAATATCTCATTAACTTTAACACTCTTGAGTATGGACTCATATACACTCCCAGGTGTGTTCATTTAACACTGGAGTTTTTGCTGTGTAAAGAGCCGTAGTTAACTGACAAGCTGAGCCATATCGCATTAAATATCGCTGGCGATACGTCCGCGATATTAGTGCGATTTGGCTCAGCTTGTCAGTTAACTACGGCTCTTTGTAGTAAATGCCGCTCCATCTGAAAGCAGGTGAAGGCGATTTACTACTAATCAAGGAACCGGCTTTACTGACGAGATGCGCATAACAATATCGTGCGATATATCGCCCAGCCCTAAGTCAAGTTGACAAAAAAATGTAAGGCAGCGGGGTAACAAAGTTTTTTAAGTTGACTCAACAAATTGTTTTTTACAGTGAAGCACCCAGAGAAGTCTGTGCTACTTCTTTTGTATTTACAATAGTTTGAATGTATGATTACTCCTGTCCTCCTTAGTGATGATTTTGTTTGTGTGGTTTTCAGAGGTGTCAAAAGTATTCACATTCTTTACTCAAGTAAAAGTATAGATACTAGGGTTTAGAAAAGACTTCTGTAGAAGTTGAAGTATCAACTCAAGCTTTTTTCTAAGTAAAAGTGTAAAAGTACTGGTTTCAAAAACTACTTAAAGTATAAAAGTAAAATCAATGTAAGGAAAAAAAAATCCATTAAGGACAAAAGCTTAGACCATGCCACAGGGGCATATAGTGCACTACCCCACCTCCTAGAAAAAACATTTTTCTAAAGGCCATAATGACTATAAAGTTATATTAAAATGTTTATGTTTAACATTTGGGACTACCTGTTATATATGCCCATAGAAAATACATTTCAGTTTTATTTAAATTTTAGTACAATGCAAATACATTAAAGAACGTGTACTGAGCATGTGTTTCATGAAGCGGAAGATAGAATCACCTATCACAGATAATCAGTTTAGCGATGTGTGTTCAGGAGGCGGGACTCAGATCTATTATCCGTGTGTATTATTGGTCATTTTTTTGGACGATGACAAGCCGGAATGACAAAAAGCTGAAATGAAAAAGAAGTAACAAGGCTATTTTTAAAATGTAAGAGTAGAAAGAACAGATAATTGCGTGAAAATATAAGTAGAAGTAAAAAGTCAGCTGAAAAATAATTACTCCAATAAAGTGTAGATACCCAAAATTTCTACTTAAGTAAGGTAACAAAGTATTTGTACTTAGTTACTTGACACTTCTGGTGGTTTTAAAATGGGTGTTGTGTTTGGGTTACAGATGACAATGATGATGAAGACTTCGAGCTTTTCCTGAGTGCCAGTGACAGTGAGTCTTCAGATGAAGATGGCTACTATGACCAGGCAGACAGTTTCATGGAAGAGGATCAGCTTGAAGAGACTGACATTTTTGGGGAGGAAAATATGGATGCAGATGGGTTCAGGGTCACAGAAGACAGCCCTGAACATTTGATGTTGAAACTGCTTGCATTTATGCTTTTGACATGGCAAGCTGTTTTTAAAATATCAGACCGTGCAATTTTTGCACTCTTGCAGTGCATAAGACAATTAATTTGGCTCATGGGACATATTCTGTGTGTGAACACACTCTGTGGGCTGGCTGGAAAGATCCCTAAGACTTTATATTCACTCAGGAAATGGACTAACATCTGCAGAGACAGCTTTAGCCAGTTTGTGGTATGCCCAAAGTGTATGGTAACATACACAATTGAGGAATCATACACCACCTCTAGATCCGGTGCAAAAATCATCAACACTTGTTCTTCTAGACCTTTCCACAAACACCCACAAAAGAAATTAAGAAGCAAATGTGGAACTCCTTTGATGAGAAAGCTTATTGGCTCAAGTGGTAAAGAATACCTGTATCCAATCCGTGTCTACTGTTACAAAAAGGTCAGTCAGTCTTTGGAGACTTTGGTGAGAAGGTCTGGATTTTTGGAGAAATGTGAGCAATGGAGACACCGCAGCATGCCTCACTCTGTCATGGGGGATGTATATGATGGGAAAATCTGGCAGGACTTTCAATATGTAAATGGTCAACCATTTCTATCAGAACCTAATAATTTTGCACTGATGATGAATGTTGACTGGTACCAACCCTATAAGCACTCCCCATATTCAGTCGGTGTTATATATCTTGTCGTTTTGAATTTGCCGAGAGAGGAACGCTTCAAAGATGAAAACATGATTTTAGTTGGAGTGATACCAGGACCCAAAGAACCCAAACTCAACATGATAGCATATCTTGAGCCCTTGGTTGATGACCTCCGAGAATTGTGGGAAGGAGTTGTTCTAATGGACTCTTCACCCTTGGGATGCCAGGTTTACAGAGCAGCATTACTCTGCCTCTCATCTGATATTCCAGCTTCCCGCAAGTGTGGTGGTTTTGTTGGCCATGGAGCACTAAGAGGTAAATTCTGATTTATTATGCTATGTTTCACACTATTGCTCAGATTTTTCCTATTGTGTGCAATACATCCAACATTAAAACAATTATTATCTTTTCAGGATGTAACAAGTGTCTGAAGAAATTCACGAAAACATCTTTTGGGGGAAAAACGGACTTCTCCGGATTTGACAGATCAACCTGGACTCTGCGCACCTCTGAGGAACACAAAAGATTTGCAAAGATGACAGAGAAGGCTACTACAAAGGCAGCCCAGAAGAAACTGGAAGCGCAGTATGGTGCCGGGTGGTCTGAACTGTTCTTCCTGCCATACTATGATGCCATCCAGTTTGTTGTCATTGATCCCATGCACAATTTACTCCTCGGAACTGCTAGACATGTTTTCAAACTCTGGATTGAGTGTGGGGTATTAAGTATCCAGAAGCTTGAAGAACTCCAAAAAAGAATGGACTCTCTCAAGGTGCCACAGGATGTTGGAAGGATTCCTCTCAGAATTGCATCAGGGTTTAGCGGGTTTACAGCAGACCAGTGGAAAAACTGGACAACCATCTATTCATTGTTTTGTTTAAAAGGCTTGATTGAGGATCCAGATTATGATATGTGGTTTGATTTTGTGCAAGCCTGCATTATTATGTGTTCAAGGGTCATCTCACATGATAGGCTTGAAGTAGCTGACTGTTACTTGCAAACATTTTTGTTGAAGTTTGTTGAACTGTATGGATCTCTTCATTGCACACCTAACATGCACTTACATTTACATTTAAAAGAATGCCTGTTAGATTATGGTCCCGTCCTTTTGGTGTTTCTCATTTGAGCGGTTAAATGGAATGTTGGGACAGTATCATAACAACAACAGAAATATTGAGGTTCAGAGGTCCCTGTTGAGCGCATTACAAGCAGATGTGTTCTCAGTACCACAACTGTGCAGTTAAGTCACACTAGGGAGAGAGTGTCTGTGGTCATTCCAATTGTGTAGTGGTAGAGATTTAAAAAAGGTGTATCTCTGAAGTGACCATTTGTGTGTGAAACATTTTTGTTGTTTACATTGTTTTACATTGTTTATTTTGTAGGTTTTGTATTGTTTGAGTGCATTTTACACTAAATAAATTTGCATAATCCTAATGAGTATTTCTCCTTTGTTATGAAGAGCAGTGGACACCCAGACACAAACTTCTTTTCAGGTACTACAGTCTTTGTTGTAGATTGACACAATGTAAAGCACTTATCAGCCAAATTACCTTTCCTGAATAGTAAGGAGGGGGGCAGGGGAATAGGGGCAATCTTGAGCTGCCAGTCCCAAAACAAATTAGCATTTACAAAGCCAAGCCATCAACTAACAGCAGGGGGTCAGACAAGTTCCTGTTTTCGGGCATTTGCAGGCATTTACAGGTACGCATAACAAAGTTCCAAAGATCCATGCTAAAGAGCACATTTAGCGGGCGTATTCATTGCCTGAATTCTCCCGTTTACACCTCTTTTGACGCAGTGTTAAATAAGGGAGACATACACAATATGCAGAGCAGTACTGTGTGGGTCGCGAGGACTGGATTTGAGAACCACTGACATATACTAATTTTTTCGAACAACTAGACAATGACTGTTGACAAGGACAAACGTGTAGTACAAAGCACAAAGCAGTCGACTCGTTTTTGGCACAAATGGACCCCATAAAACTGTACCACATATCACTCCAGACAAAGTCTTAAAGCCTGGCTTCTAGAAAATCAAATATGTGATCATTTCTGTAGTTCATTGCTTGTTTAACTATTACTGCTGTTATTATTTAACCTGCTGCTAATATGTTCCATGTCATTTGCTTGTTGCCAGGTGTCGCGCAGCAAGATTATGGTATGTATGGATTATTGTATTTTATTAACAGTCTGGTATGTTCTTCTATAGCAGGGTTCCTCAACTCTGGCCCGCGAGATCCACTTTCCTGCAGAGTTTACCTACAACCCTAATCAAACTCACCTGAACAAGCTAATCAATGTCTTCATGATTACTACACCTTATAGGAATACAGCAAAATCCCCAGTGCTAAATCAACACTGCTCAGAGTACATATTGTCCCAATCTAAAGAGTGTTAAAAGTGGTAAAGTTAATTAGATAATTAACTGATTAATTAAGTGATAATTGAACATTATCGAAGACATCAGACATCAGAATCACTGAAGGAGAAAATAGTAATTGGTATGTTACCATTATGGAGATCAGTGTTTGCTTTAGTTGGGCTCTTGACCCTTAAGTCATTAACTTTAGATTTTGTTTGGCTGCTGTATCTGAGTTATAACAGCCAGATGAACAAAGAGAAAAGGTGATATGATGGTGATGATTGTGTTTTAACATAATCAGTAGTTGGTCTGAACTCATTGAGGGCCTAATTTCAGAGTTAAGTTTTGTAGCTTATGTATTATAACAGCACTGTTGTTGTAGTAGAGTATGCATTTTCTAGTCTTTTCTATCAAATCCAAATGATCAAATCAATTACAAAAAAAAAAAAAAAAACCTTCTTAAAAGTTTTTAAGGTAGGTATGTACAGACATCAAGAATTAGGGTATGAATCTCAACAATGGTGACAAAAAGATGACCTCTGAACATAAGCTCATTATTTATTCATACAGCAATGCATGATGGGAGCCATAAATGAGATTGATTGGTGGCATCCAGAACACACTGCAAAATGCTTTATAATTGTCACCATTGTTGAGATTCACAGGCCGATGTTTTTTTTAAAAGACATTCTTGATGTCTTTTAAAAAAAAGAAAAAAATTGTATGTGATTACGTTTTAAAAAATTATTTGGATTACATTGTTAAAGTAACAAATATTAAGATTTTTAAGGACAGCGCTGCTATAATGAATAAAGTAAATTTAACTCAGAAATTGGGCTCTACTTAGGTCAAATGATTGTGAAATAATGATAATGTTAAAACATATCCAACACCATCAAAAACATTTTCTCTTTGTTTATCTGGCTGTTGTAACTCAGGTACAACATCCAAACAAAAATCTGAAGTTAATGACTTAAAGGTGCCCTAGAATGTTTTTTTTTATTATTTTATAATGTTTCCTGGGTTACCCTTATAATGTTAGTATGTTTTTTAGATAAAAAATAATCATAATTTAGAAATAAATGGCATTTTTCCTAGCCTGCTTTTAGCCTCTGATTTGAACACTCTGTTTGAAGGGGCGTGTCTGCTGTGGGATTCAGTGTAACCGCGGCCACTGCTGTGATTGGCTGACATGCTTGCATATGAAATAGCTACGCATTACATGTGAAACTCTCTCCCGAATACTTTTACTACTGCTATTATACGTTTATAATATATACGTTACTATAACAGCTATCGAGATTAACGAATCAAAACAAAGATTTTTTTTTTATACAACTTTTGAGAAAACCTTTATATTATACCACAAAGTCTGGATATTTATGCAGAATCTCAGTTATACTGTACTCAACAGCATAATTACAAACAATTAGCTCAAATGATGAATGTCATAATATAATCAATACCATTACATCATTGTTTTTCTTTGTTCATCTGGCAGGTATAACTAGGATACAACAGTTGAACAACATCTAAAGTTAATAATATAAGGGTCAAGAGCGCAACTAAAGCAAACACTCATCTCCATGATGGTGACCTGAAATTCCGGTTTTCTTCTTCAGTGATTCTGCTTTAGGTGTCTTCAATAATGCTCAATCATCACTCAATTAATCACTTAAATATCTCATTAACTTTAACACTCTTGAGTGTGGACTCATATACACTCCCAGGTGTGTTCATTTAACACTGGAGTTTTTGCTGTGTAAAGAGCCGTAGTTAACTGACAAGCTGAGCCATATCGCATTAAATATCGCTGGCGATACGTCCGCGATATTAGTGCGATATGGCTCAGCTTGTCAGTTAACTACGGCTCTTTGTAGTAAATGCCGCTCCATCTGAAAGCAGGTGAAGGCGATTTACAACTAATCAAGGAACCGGCTTTACTGACGAGATGCGCATAACAATATCGTGCGATATATCGCCCAGCCCTAGCTCACTCTCGCTCGTATCCAAGGTAAATCATCAACGCTATCATCCCTTACACGCGTTTTATTTAACTAAGTACATCACAATAAGCTAAAACGCATGCGCAGGTCACTTTACTTCCTGAACAAGTGCGCACCCGAGTCCGTGTTGCTTTCACATTCACGCGAACCGCGGCACGGTTCGGGAGCAACCGAACTCAGACCACCTCTTCCAGGTAGTCTCGGGTTCGGTACCCCAGTGCGCACCCGGGTCCCATGACAGCGTTCACATTAGCGATTTTTCATGCGAACCGTGCCCCGTTCCGAACTAAACTGCCAGTGTGAAAGCCCCCTTAATGTCTTCAGTTGATTTCATCTAAGACTCTGGCTGAAGTCAGTTGTAGTTGGGTTTCTCTTTTCTTTGGTCATTCTGCTTGCTAACAGCAGGTGTTCATCACTAATGCTCAATCATCCCTTAATTAATCAGTTAATTATTTCATTAACTTTACCACTTTGAACACTCTTTAGATTGGGACAATATGTACTCTGAGCAGTGTTGATTTAACACTGGGGATTTTGCTGTGTTCCTGTAAAGGTGTAGTAATCATGAAGACATTGATTAGCTTGTTCAGGTGAGTTTGATTAGGGTTGTAGGTAAACTCTGCAGGAAAGTGGATCTTGCGGGCCAGAGTTGAGGACCCCTGTCATAGAGTCTATCCTAACAAGCTGAGGATCTGAATCAGGTGTGTTAAATAAGGGAGACATACACAATATGCAGAGCAGTGGGTCGCGAGGACTGGATTTGAGAACCACTGACATATACCAATTTTTTCGAACAACTAGACAATGACTGTTGACAAGGACAAACGTGTAGTACAAAGCACAAAGCAGTCGACTCGTTTTTGGCACAAATGGACCCCATAAAACTGTACCACATATCACTCCAGACAAAGTCTTAAAGCCTGGCTTCTAGAAAATCAAACATGTGATCATTTCTGTAGTTCATTGCTTGTTTAACTATTACTGCTGTTATTATTTAACCTGCTGCTAATATGTTCCATGTCATTTGCTTGTTGCCAGGTGTCATGCAGCAATATTATGGTATGTATGGATTATTGTATTTTATTAACAGTCTGGTATGTTCTTCTATAGCAGGGTTCCTCAACTCTGGCCCGCGAGATCCACTTTCCTGCAGAGTTTACCTACAACCCTAATCAAACTCACCTGAACAAGCTAATCAATGTCTTCATGATTACTACACCTTATAGGAATACAGCAAAATCCCCAGTGTTAAATCAACACTGCTCAGAGTACATATTGTCCCAATCTAAAGAGTGTTAAAAGTGGTAAAGTTAATTAGATAATTAACTGATTAATTAAGTGATAATTGAACATTATCGAAGACACCTGATGTTAACATCAGAATCGCTGAAGGAGAAAATCGTAATTGGTATGTTACCATTATGGAGATCAGTGTTTGCTTTAGTTGGGCTCTTGACCCTTAAGTCATTAACTTTAGATTTTGTTTGGCTGCTGTATCTGAGTTATAACAGCCAGATGAACAAAGAGAAAAGGTGATATGATGGTGATGATTGTGTTTTAACATAATCAGTAGTTGGTCTGAATCACTGAACTCATTGAGGGCATAATTTCAGAGTTAAGTTTTGTAGCTTATGTATTATAGCAATACTGTTGTTGTAGAGTATGCATTTTCTAGTCTTCTCTATCAAATCCAAATGATCAAATCAATTACAACAACAACAACAAAAAAACCTTCTTAAAAGTTTTGAAGGTAGGC